TTTTCTTCTGTCAAAAGGTAATCGAAATTGTTGTTCTCATACTTAATTACAATATGCGCGAGATGTGCCATGATACGTATTGTCGTAATTGGATACCTTGTGGTTTCATCACCATTCATATGCTAATGCAGATGGGGCTACATGTCTTACTTCCATCGACTATTCATAAATGATATCGAATAATGGGATACGTTAACGCACCGCTCATGCGGACGTTAATGCCGAGGAATAACGACACCGCGAAAAGCGGATCCCCGAGGCAGACGTTAGCTGTGTCGGCAGACGATAACACCAATCCGAACAGACTCAGAACTTTCTCTCGTAACCCTTAACCCCAGGCCGTGTCCGCGTCTTCAATTCAGGGTAATTCTTGGCTGTTATCATCTCCTTGTCTCAAATTAAGCGCGAGCGTCTGACATTCCGCCCTCCTTCCCGCTCACCATGTCGTAAAGCTACACGTGAGACTTCACAAGGAAGTCAAAGAAGATCAACACTGCACAAACAGAGTATTGGAGAATAAAGCATATTTCATATTCCATATCTTTTCATTGCGCGAGAACTCCACACATCCCCCAAACGAGTTAATGCGAACTGCAAACAGGGTTAAAATAGCGAAAGGTCAATACGGAGGTTCGTACTCCACTTTAGTAAATTAAGTCAGAGAGCGGTTCAGTGATGTCGGGCAATTTGGATACATGATAGATAGATATCATATCAGTCTCATGCAAATCCCTGAGCTTTGTTGGCCTCGGTTGTAACTGGAGCACTAGACGTGTGTGGAAGGGCATTATATCCCCGCATCTAACGCTGGCGGTGAGATAAACATTGATGCATCATCTCAATTAAAGGATTCAGATACACCATGATGTTTCTGTGGCACAGAGAGCAGAACCGTTTGTATCTAGGGCATCAGTTCGTTATTCCTTGCGGGAAGGTACTTATCGTCTTTGGTCAAGCCATTCTCAGGGTTTTGTTCAGCATCCGAAACTGTTGTGGTCGTTTCAAAAGCTACACAAGATAGTTCAATGTTGTTTTGACAGTTTTCAAGGAAACGGGGGTGCAGCTGTTTTAATGTTGACGTTTGACACACACTGTCCCTGCTTTCCATTTATACGTTCAGGATGCAGATTCATACAATGTTTGTTGTTTAATGCCGCACTCAGCAATATTCCAGACTTATGACTGCAGTCTGTAAATAATCTCTGGACCAGACAATCCAGTGACCGTGATATCATGAGTATCCGTGCAGTAGGGATGCAATGACATGCGTCAAACAAGTCACCTGACCACCAGATACCGTCAGTCTCCTCTGACGACATGCAATGGATGTGGAGACCAAACATTACCTGGATCTTCACTTGAGTATTGTTTGGGGAGGGATAATGCCATGGTACCACTATGATAAGGAGGTCAGGAAACCAGGGGGTATGAAGATGGGAGATATGAAGGTTACATTATCATCTCTGGTGTATGTTTAACGCTTTATTCGTTACATTTGCTGGCAGTCACCGTATACACTGGCTGTTTATACTGAACAACTTCAATACCGATACATACGAAGTTGTACAGGTCGCACACGATGTCGATGTTGTCGATATATAGCGGGGTGGGGGTGGTTATCGTTAGACACATGATGACATACTAGTCAGGCTATTACTAACATTTGAAGGGGGCAGGGAACCAGGAGTATTGACTGGATTAAACAGCGTTAATCTAGGGGAATGTTGGGCAGTACCAAACGTAAAGCGCACAAATGCAACCTTGGTTATTATAATGGACAACACTATGAGAAGTTAGTGTCAGTGACAGTGTTAGTGTTCCACTGCTGGACGGTGGTCGGGTTTCTGTGGATCAGAAGGTCAACATAAGTGGGACTAAGTTTAGTTAACATGAGCTAACTTTACTATACAAGGTTAATTTAGGTTGTGCAGTGGTCAGGTTCGCCTGAGTCGTTTGTATTTAAAACGCTGACAATGTCGTGGCTGTGTGGGAACACACCGGATGTGCATTGATTCCTTCATGGAGAGAACATGCACACAGGGGCGTGTGTCATACACGCAGATACACCTCATGGTGGTACATCTACTGGGTCTAACCTCAGTTATGTCACCCAGTGCTAGTCTCAGGATGGGGGGGGGGGGACTCAGAGGTGTCCATACGGTGATGAAACATGGAACATGGTGGGTATGGTGCAGACAAATCATGGATCACATACAGGGCGAAGTTTGGATTCGAACCCAATGCCAACTAACAGTATGGAGAGTGGTCTGGCACTTTATGAAGCGGGATGGGGGTGGGTGAGTTTAGTTTTCCTCCGCTTTAGCACTATTTCAGCAATACCATGACGGGGGGCCACCAGAAATGTGCTTCACACATTGTACCCATGTGGGGAATCGAACCCGGGTTTTCGGCGTGATGGATGGGGGTTAATACGCCCCTCTACAGACGAAGGCACTGGAGATATTCTCCGTCTGGAACCGAAGACTTCGTGTCGGAATTCAAACGCCACCAGAGATAGGAGAGAGCTTAACAAATCGTATCCTTTTGACTTACGCTTCATTAGCTACTGCTCCTTCCGCCGGATTGCCAGATGCGCAGTTTCTGTATCTAATTAGGACTAAACGTTTCAGGCCTTGTTCCTAATTCTTTAACGAAGGCTTCTCTAATACAACATAAAATTTATGACTAGAAATCTGCAGTCTTTATCAAAGGACTGTAAATTCATTGTGTCGTAAACACCGGCAAACAGCAGACCCTTCGCACCGCAATTATCTTAACTGGTTCGCTCAACACAATAAGCTGCTACACAACACCATCAATAAAAACAGATCAAACTGGCGATATGTCGTGGAGAAATCAGCTTTGGTTTCCTATGCAACAACACTGCACGGCTTCCGTGGCCGTTTTTATGACCACATCGTACTCGGGAAAATATTATAACTGGAGTGGCATTTGACCGTGTCATTATAAAAACTATCAAAGATGAAGCTACTTTATTGCTATGCGTGACAGGGGTAGTAGATTGGGATTGTTCCCGACTAATTGGACATAGTAAAAGACATTCGGAGGGCTCAAACCAGCCTTTGATCCTCGCTGGTTTTATATCATCCGGCATGTGAGAAGGAATTAATGTTGGATTACAGTGATTGGAGCAAGATAACGGTAATTAAGCTGACCATATGTTTCCCTGTAAATATACTGTTGATCTAAGATAGATATCTCTATCTGATGATTTGTTGCTTCGCTGGAGAAGTCAGATGTCACAGCTGTTACATGTTTTTGGTGATCCACGAACTCTTGTGTACACAGTTGTATTAAAAACGTGTAATTACATTGGTTCAGTCAATAGTCACTTAGAATATGTTATTTCGTGTTAAAACACTACGTTCATCTAAAGATCTCTGATACGTCTACTGCTGCTGTACCTCAGTGTCAGGCATGGATAACATTAAGGCTTAGACTCAGAAATTGTTTGAAGAGGATATTCTAATCAGCATTTTTTTATTAAATAATTCCACTGTAGGAAACCGGATTTTGAGCTTAAAATAAGCAAAAAAAAATGTCAAACTACGTCGTAAGTTTTTATGACAACTAGTTATTGCCGTATAGTATCTTCCTCAGCAAGAAGATACATGATCACTTGGTTTCAGCGTTCTATCTGTTAAGCAAACATAGACGTCTGTAATAGCCGGCGTAGGAACACCGGCCTCCTCCCTGTTGGAACATTCTGTGCCGAGGAATATTTCTTTGTCACTATTATGTGCTTCCGAGTAGGGCACTTCTTCATGTGGCGGATTAATATCAGTGTTTACATCTGTGTAAGGTGACTCAAAAACTGCCCTACCTCGACAGTAATACGCTCTCCGGGACAGACCGGGAACAGATAAACCGATTATCATATTCTGAAAGTGTACGTATCCCCTGCCCAAGACGGCCTTAAACAACGTGAAGCACACCCATGAATCTTTGGTGTGCACACACTTGCAGTGGGGAATATAAGAAAGAATATCACCCTATTACCTATTAGGGTCAGGGAGGGGAGGAGGTAGGGGTAATGTGGTTTTGTTACCCCCTGCGCAGTAGTTGACATACTTTCTCTAAATTGGTGACAACATTTCACACCTAGCAGAGATTTGTATGGCTCGTGTTATAAATTATTGATACAAAAAGGCTTATCTTCGGACGCGACTTGAAAGTTAACAACAGTAGGGAAGCCTTCAAGGTACCAATGTGAAGTGCATTGTCTGAGAGGAGAAATCGTTACGTCAATATATTACCGGTATGCAATTATGTCTCGTCAGTTAGAGATCAAATGAAAACGGTTGACCCTTGCGGTTTTGCTTAACTACAGTTATCCCCCCTTCCGTTGTGGTGCGAGGTGCTTGGGGATATATGTGGACAAGCTTCCAGCAGTGGTGGCAGCGGTGTAGAGAAGCTTGTAGGTTGGCTCTGCGAGTGATGCACGCCTTGAGATTAGGATAGTTTGCTACAATTACAGCCGCTGCCATAAGAAGAGCGATAGTAATCATATCATTTCATTACAAACCCCTAGCGTTTATTTTTAGCACAAGTGTCAAGAGGGCTCGTTCGACGTGTTGGAGAGTGTGAAACATTCACGATCCAACCAATCAGCGATCAGCTTGCTGTGTTTGTTTGTAGCCCGTTTTTGACAGCTTGGTTGGTGATACAGGATATATCGCCCAGTGGGCGGGCCCTTAGTAGGCGGAGCTAACACCTCGCCCGACAGTTGACATATCTAGGCTCCGCCTTTTGACCCACATTCTCGTTCTAGGCTGTCGGCTTATTCTTTCATGCACAAGTAGGCCCGGTCATTACAGGGTGTACCGTTGTGGCTAGAGGATAGTACCTACAACTTTGTTAGATTGAAGCGAATTTACTTGGCAGAGATGTAAGGATTTGTTAGTGTGAGCCGCTTGTACTCTGCTAGAAGTGTCACAATGATTAATGGCTGATGGAACGGTGTGTTTTCCTGTTAACAGAGCGTCAGAGCGGTTCCCAGCGCGAGGACACACAGCACGGGCAGCGGCCGGGATCCTACTTAGGCGGCCTGTATGGACGGGCATGGCATCGCGGTGCTGTCATAGCCCGCCTCGACACCCGCTAACCACCCTCGTCTTTTTCATAAGTCTGGCCATGCTGTCGAGATCAGGTGAGTCAAATTTCATCCCTCCCCTCTTCGAATTTGTGCCGAAACTGTCTCCATGTTGTTGCCTTACCTCGCGATTCGGGCAGGTAGGCTCCATCAGTGATCGCTAAAGAAGTAGGTTACCCCTTGCACGACATCGCGGCCGTCGGACGCTCCGATATAAACTTATATGACATTGTTTAATTGTGGTGTGTTTTTGTATTGCAGAAGGGTTTCCTAGCAGCTCAGGGTGCCATGTGGACAGGTGTTGGATGAGCTACCAAAGAGCCACAGATATACTTGGTCCACCAGAACCGTTGAAGAACGATGACCGGTGCAGTGCCCTTAGGACATACATGAATTGTATCAAGTCAACGGCACGAGGGTGTCAGGGCGATATTCGATTTTATAGTGTCCGTAATGGAGTGAAAAATCAAATGAAATCGTATAATTGTACGGAGTTTGGGCCGACAGTGGACCCCGATAAACATACTCCTGTCCGGCCAACTATACCGGAGGTGTGTACTTACCAAGGAAAGAAGGTGTACAGACAGTGTGGCCTATTCGGGGACCCCCACATCAGGACGTTCTATGACGAGTACCAAACTTGCAAAGTGAAGGGAGCATGGCCCCTTGTCAATAACAAATACTTAACAGTCCAAGTTACGAACGATCCCGTGACGGGACACAATGGAGCTACCGCGACCAGCAAGGTTGGTATTTAAACTAATGTATTATGTTTACACACACACTCAAACCCTGACACTGAAATATATTCCCCTAATGTTCCCCTCATCTTGCCCCCTCCGCCAGTTTAGCTTGACCCAGAAGGCCTGTGTTGGTTGTGGCAAGCAGCACCTCCCAGACCCCTCTGTAAACAATACATTCTCTTTTGTTCACGGTAAAATACCACACATGCTCTTTCTAAAGCAGCTTAGCTGTGACTTGATGAAGATATATAATGACAGAACATTACTTTAGGACATGTTAGGTATCGGCAGTGACAGAGGGATGCGCTAAGAAACACGTGAACATGCAACAAAGTAGCGAGAGAGTCGCGAGGAGCTATGGTCTCGCAATCAATATGTCCGCCATGTTGGCTGGAGCATTCGGGTCAATAACACTCGCTGCTTCATTCTTAGTAGACGGGAGCGAAAAGAGGGACCAGGGGCACCAGGGGAACACGTTAGCTTGCTAGAGTAAATAGGTTTTTGGGAGATGGTGGTGTACCTTCTGTCCGGCCCTCTGTACTTGTCTCCAAGCGAGCTCAAAACAAACACGAGAAAGGGAAGGCTATTGGCCCCCTAACCCAAGTTTGCCTGACCCCCTCGCGCCATATTTAAGTCAATTTTATCGCAACGTAAATTCCCATGAATTTTATTAGTTTCAATATGGTTGATAATCTATAATACTCACATTTTCAAATTCATATTTATTTTAGTATTATTGATAATTAAATTAGGAAATAATTTCTTAAATTTGTAAAAGACAATGTACACCTTACTTAGACACTCTTGTGAGTACAATATATTATGAAGATTCATGTATTCAGAATAAATTCAAATACATGCTATTTAAATATTTCAAGCCACATTGAGTTATTTCGGGTTATTATGAGGTATTAGTCATCTCAAACAAGTACGTGTTTACACGATTAAGGCTTTAATTACGTGCGATGACCATCTACTAATTGCCTAATTGCTGTTTGTGTAGTAAGCGCGAGGAGCCTTAATCAGCAAGAGTACTAAGTACCACAGCACTGTCTATTATGCATTGCCATTCCAGTTTGCACCTATGTAATTCCGAGTGAAAATAAGGGTTGTTATTGGCCTTAATTAGGCCCAACTCGCCTAGCCCCCGACCAGTCAATTCAATCTAATAACGTCCTAATAGAAGGTGACAAAACTGGCTTAAGATTGTTTGACTTGGAGATCCATATAATTAGAGGACTGCCCAAGGCTTGATTGGATACTGAATAGGAATTTCATGTTTTTGCATATTTTTAGAGCGATAAATAACCCACGATTGTTTGTATTTTACTGAACCTGGAATAATGGGACTGCACTAGAATTTAGTTTTTACATGTGTAGTGTTCATCATAACGATTACTGTGATAACATTAAGGCATATGAACTGCTGTTGAATATTATATGATAAGGACTATTGGTATTGGAGTCGGAATTTTAAGAATTTTTTTTTTTGACGATGTGAAACATCGCCAGGTCGAGTGTTTGGAAAAGCACACGACTACCACGTTGGTGATTCATGTCTGTCCTGCACATGCCAACCCTAATGTTTTTAAAACTCTTTCCACACAGTGCCTGACAATGACAGATAGGCTAGCCTCTGTGGTGACGCTACTATTTCCGTGAGATTAACTTTTATTGGAAATGTAACCATTTTTAAGCGACTATCAGTCTTGTAGATTCAAGCATGAGTGATGTATATTGGTCGGTGTTTGAGTCTAGTTAAATGTTTTTCCATCAAGTCATTTTAGTTTTTTGGTATATCCAATGTTGATAAGCGAAAAAAAGTGAAGTTAGGATACCCAAATCATTCAGTTGGGATAACACCACACCACCCAACCACCACACTCCAAACACCACACACCACAAAACACACACACAATAAAAACCAACAAAACAACAAACACACACCTTTTAGAAGGTATACCCCCATAAACCCACACCTTAAACAAATCACACATACTAAACAAATCAAAACCCAACAAAATAGACACACATACTCGCGGGTGCGCACGCAAACACGCGTGCGCGCTCGCACACACACACACACACACGTGCGTTCCTGCGTTGAAGTACAAGTACTCCCTTGGAGTTTTATGGTTGTAGTGTATGCATGTACCTGGAAGAGTAATTGATGGCAGTCACATAATGGCCCGACAGGTGTGTTTGAGCGTGAGCCGCTAAGGACACGATCCCCACTGGAGTTACCCCTACTGCTGATGTGTGTGTGTGGGGGGGGGCAGGACTCCCACTGACTAGATCTACTTGTTGGTTAGCTTGTGTGTAGGTCTTCCTATTAGTACATTCAGATCAGTTTACATATATTCCACACCACCCTTGTAGCAGCTTCCACACATGTTATAGATGCCTAAACTGAGTTCCCTATCGACACATAGCCTGGGGCTGGTCATACTGCCCACAGTTGCCACAGAATATTGTGATTCTGGTTAGAAAAGTGTTTCTGCGGATCACTCAGTTTAGGAGGTTGCCTTTGTTACTGACCACGTGACCTACATAACGCGGTTTCCTAAATACTGCTAAGGAATTCCCATCCGATTCATCCGATCTGTACAGCCATCGCAACTTGTCAGGGGGAATGGTTTGGAGGAAGCAGGGCAGGGCCAGGCTTAAATACAATAGCGGGAATAATCTACCCACAGATCCAACTCATCTCGGCCCATCTCCGAACCATCTACTGTACACAGACATATGTGCCCCAGTCTAGTCATCCTACCGGTTTACTAGACATCCGTCTTTCTATCAATCCAGTCTATCAACCGTCCACTAATTATCATCTACCCATCCTTCTACCCACCTACCAGTTTACTAGACATCCGTCTTTCTATCAATCCAGTCTATCAACCGTCCACTAATTATCATCTACCCATCCTTCTAGCCACCTACCAGTTTACTAGGCATCCGTCTTTCTATCAATCCAGTCTATCAACCGTCCACTAACCATCATCTTCCCATCCTTCTACCCACCTACCCGTTTACTAGACATCCGTCTTTCTATCAATCCAGTCTATCAACCGTCCACTAATTATCATCTACCCATCCTTCTACCCACCTACCAGTTTACTAGACATCCGTCTTTCTATCAATCCAGTCTATCAACCGTCCACTAATTATCATCTACCCATCCTTCTAGCCACCTACCAGTTTACTAGGCATCCGTCTTTCTATCAATCCAGTCTATCAACCTTCCACTAATTATCATCTACCCATCCTTCTACCCACCTATCTGTTTACTTATCAGTTCTCTCACACCTACCCTTTCTTCTACCTTACCCTGCTTTGAAACACCGTTCAACCATCTGTATGTGGAGTTGTTCAGCTAATCCGTACCATAACATTAAAACACCCCAAACATACTAAATGTGGGAGAAACGAGCGGCTGTGACGACTTGGACAAAGACGTGTGGAAGCCTGGTGGAATGCTGGGATATTTGCATTCCGAATGAAAGGTGCGAGGAGTCATGTTGAGGATTTATGTAGGTATCCCAGATGACACCTGTCACACCGTCACTGCGTAACACACTGCAAGGAATCGTCCACGCTTTACTCACAAGTCGCGGAACGGTGTTGTTTTTGTGGTGTTATTCATATTAACAGCTGTAGCAAGTGGAAATTGCTGTTTGATGTCCTACCACGTTTCGAAAGCTCTGGGGTTTATCCTATTAATTGGGTTTCAGAAATGTAGACTGTTTTGCCAACCTTTCAGGTTAATGTTCTTTCGGTATGAGACATTGTATAAGTTAGCAAATTGGGTTATGGTACAAAGAGAGTTGTGTAATGGCGTTCACATAAAGCGAACGAATATTTATATTGTGTTCAAAAGTGTCTACTTCAATGAAAGCAATACATGGTTCCGCCTAAATAAGACAATGCTTAACTCGGCGAATTCCAAGATGGCGCAAAAACAAACAAGAGATTTTGATGTGTGAGCGGGTACAAGAGTTATACACAATCCTGGCATGTACACGAAAACCGGTGCTGTGAGATCGGCCCCAGCGCTATGTAGGTAATTACATCGGCTTTAGCCGTGGACCGAGAGCAGGCACACATCTCCAGTGAGCAGCGCAGCGAGGGCACTATTCATCAACATCACGCTTTCTGCTACGTTTCAATGAACGTTGGAATTCGTAGTCATTGCTTGACACCGTCGGCCAGTCGCAGTGACGTACACGGTGTTTACAGTTAAAGTAACACCGGCTCCAATTCCTACGCGCCCCTGTCTTCTACTCTCCTTCCGAAATGTCATGGACTATTTTCAGAGAAACTTACATTTGTAAGAAGTTTATGAAGACGTTGAAGGCTTTCTTTGTATGTACTCTAACGTGAAGTATGTCAAATTGGTCGATAGTGCTGCGTCGCGATGTTTCCTGAGAACAACATGCGTAAATGTAAACAAATTGGGATTAAATGGAGACGGACTGAGCAAGATGTAATTTCATCGAGTGAATTCTGCCAATCTAAAGTTCCCTTTATAGGAAAGCGATGTCATTTTTTCATTGAATGGAATATGGGACCAATGCCCAAATGACCCCATTGTTAATGGTATGGCCATATTGCCTTGCTATATGTCCACCACGCCCGAGACTACAGCCCTACTAATTCAGTGAGTGTGAGGCCTGACTAAATGGACCAATATTTGCCTTCCATGGGACCCTGCCATGTTCACTGGTTAACCGTCCTTACGTGTGCGGCGTAAAACAAATCTGCTGTATATGGTTGCTTTGAGTGATAACGCCGCGTCTTTAGTGTAGTGGAAAGAGTGTTTGCTTGTTAACGCAGGCAGCCAGTGGTTCGCACCCCGGTCGCAGCAGTTCGTTAAAATATGCAGCTTGTTTTCCTGTCCGATGCTCATTGTTAGGTGTGTGTGTGTGTGTGTGTGTGTGTGTGAAACCAAGAACTGGTGTGCTCGGAGTCGTGTAATAATACTGAGTGGGTTACCCGTATATGTCTCAGAGGGCAAGCCTGCATTGTATAATACACACAAAAACACGCACGCGCGTACAGAGGGAGAGAGAGAGGCCTATGTTTTTTTATGTCTGTGTGGAAGTGATGGCATTGGTGTGTAACAATCAGGTACACAAACCTAGGTTGTATCATGTGGTCAGGTAACTAAATGCATATACTTACTTCGGAATACTTGCATGTCCATTACACGGACGTCCAACAGATACATGCTGTCGATGTCGCCTGACAAAGGACGTGTCGATTATTGTTTTCGGTTGCGTTACACATGTTTATGACTTGAATTGACGTGTCGTGCATGTAATGAACTTGTTTCTCTGTCTGTTTCAGCTAACTGTGATAATCAAAAAGAAGCCCGAATGTACATCAGATAATTTCCTTATGTACCAAGCTCAGACGGACTCCCTCCCAGGGTCGTTCTACGACGGCAAGACTCACTACGGCCAGCACAAGAGCGTGGAACTGGTGGAGGTGGATCCGTTCAAGCACGTGGAGATTCACATTCATTACATCGAAACTACACTAGTACTGCGACAGATTGGACGCTATTTCACATTCGCCATTCGAATGCCCGAGGAAATTGCAAATAATAGTGTTTCGTTTGATAATCTACAACTTTGTGTTAGCGGGTGCCCCGAGAGGGAGAGAATAAACTACCAGGAGTTCCTGGCACTACGGAAGGATAGGATTGACTCTCTGTCTGAAAGTGAAAAATCCTTCATGTCGAGAGAGCAGGCTGAAGGTATATGTCGAGATTCCAATGTTGTGGATTTTTACTTCGACTCGTGTGTGTTTGACCTCATGACTACGGGGGACAAGAACTTCACTATGGCGGCTGTGAGCGCCCTGCAGGACGTGGTCAAACTAGACCCATCAGCGGTCAGGTTCTCGGCCAACAGGACCTCTTTAGACAGATACGATGACCAGTATGGTAATAGTGGTGTTTCAAGGACTAGGACCCCCAGTGACTATTCATTGCTTGTGACAGTGACCGTATTCCTGTGTATGTTATTTTGTCATGAGCATGTTCCAGTATGAGCGAATGAGCGAGTGTAGACGACTTTCAAGACTAAACCATTACATTTCTGGGCTATTGTGTTCCTGTCTGCGGCAGGGTGGCTCCCAGGGCTGACGTCTCTACTCCTACCAACACCCGGCACTTGAGGGTCACATCGCTCCCTTGTTGATTCCAATGGTGCGGTGTGGGTATCGTGATCCAGTCTGACCATCACACAATGGACAAGGATATGTCGTCGAGGGAGTTGATAGCAGTATAAACTTCAGTCTCGTATTCTCATTGTAACCTTCTGTGCTCATATATGTCCAGTAGCTGTCCGCCACAATGGGGAGTGACCAATGTTTCCCCGCATTACTTGACAGGGTTTAAGGCCAAGTGTAGCCTGTTATGTTGAGTCTCGTTACAGTAGTCTTATCGTAAGGGTATCTTTATTGTTCACCTTCATCAAACCGGATATTCTATTCTGATGTAATCCAACTGAAAGCCCACAACCAAATCTAATATGTAAGAATTGTGAACATGCTTAGCTTGATACCATTGCCAGGAGTGTGGCGGGTTTCCAATCGTTCAGCGAGGTTAGTGATAGTTTTGACATACCACGTGGAAAATTGTCTAAACCAAAATGGAATATTGAATTAAATCTCCCTGGTATCCCCCCAGGATTCGACCCCCTCCACTTCTCTCTTGACAGAGCATCCAGGCACTCAGTCAACACGCAATGCACTCCCGATGCGTCTATTTTTGGCAAGACACAAAATCAATCTGAATGTGATTATGTGGTGCCGTGATCGGTATTTTTGCAGTTGGAATTATTCATAAATATTTTGACCATCTCTTTTCAAAGAGTTGCCATTTTCGCTGACGGCATGCTTCAAAGCAAAATCTCTTCCTTGATATGGGGATTGTGCGAGGATGAAGGTGACAATCGTTATTTCCGTAACGCTGACGTAATCGTCATATCTGGTATTGGGGGGATTGTATTTTAAATTCATTGTGGATGAGGCGTTGTGAACACGCGGATGGAGGAAAATGTAATGCTGCGTTTTAATGTTAAATATGCCTCATTCCATCCCAGTGTCTCTGAAACAAACTTGTCAAATCCAGGCATACCCTGTCGGTATGTTCACGAATGGACACTTCTTAAAGGAGCCCTCCATTGGTTTTGTTGTCTCTGACGCGTTAGTTAAGCCAGTTCCGTGTGGTATCATGTTGGTCCTAAATGTTGAATTTAAATCTGATGGTGCACTTCCTGATGGTGGAAGCAGTCTTGTCATATCTGAGCTCAGTTGGTGGTTGTTCATACATCATTGTACCCGTTACGCCAGTGGTGTATGTATATAATATATTATGTATGAATAAGTAAGATGCGTTGTGACCTCAAACTTGAATCCTTAAAGGATCGACACCAAGTACCCCACATCAAGAACCCCACATCATACCTCAGTTAACACAATCAGTGGGTGAGGGAGGGGCGGGAGGGAGGGATATTGTGGCCAGTTTTTACGTGACGTTATAGACTCGTATGCACGTTTTGTTATGGTGCTTAATATGAATAGGCCACCTTATGAAGTAATATTCATTTGACCTACTTACCTATACTTGTAAGGAAATACCTGTTACTGTAACTGTAGCACTGTTAATCATACCACAAATTGATAGAGGGATCTCTATTTCTAGGGTGGCACAGATTAAGTTCTGAAAGATTGAAGTACACTGTGTACTATGAAGGAAAGGTGTAGGGATGTGTTATTTGAAAAGGTATCAGTAAACTTAAACAAATGTAAACATTTGAATTTGAAAATTGATTTTGAAATTATTACCTTTATATGCATTTTGTCAAATATTTACATTTGTGCATCATATAAATGGTCTTATACCATGACTTGTCCACCACTACAATACCGCTGACATCCCTTAAATGATATACAATCGCTGTGTGATAAACATGTATATCGTATGGATAAGGTTTTGAGTTGAATGACGGCAACAGACACATCAGTCTGTGATACAACACAGCAGTAGACGTATTGACCGATTAACCGGCCGCTACAAGCAATATATAATGTTATGAATGGTTGAAGTATAAGCAGCTTATTTATTTGTTATTTTGTTTGTCTACAGGTTCACGTAAGAATTGGTCATGGAGTATTGGTACACATTGTGATAAGGTAGACAAACCGTGCAAAACTCGTCTGTCGGCAAGTCCCATAATATGTAACAGTAGGGCATTAACCGTGGGGATCCTCTACTGCTCTTCTGAGTCGGGGTGGGAAAGGGAGGGGAGGGTTTTGTAAATTATGTCGGAGTTCTAATGGTCCGAACTCTTGCCTCGCTATACACAAGAGGTGGGACTACAATTTGAAGTAAACACTATGAATGTTGTGAACTTGTTTTTCATCTTTTTCCACCGAAATGCGATACGGTTGCCTGTTCCATGGTTGAGCGCATTTCTCCATTGAGGACAGACGACGAAGCAAGCACAGACCTCTTTACATCATCTACACATTGTCTGAGCCACGTTCCGGGCGGTGTAAAACATGGGCATTAAGGAACATCCTCAACATCAAATGCCGTTTAAAGGTTTCGTATTAAACACATCTGAATGACACTGAATACCAGACTACACACCTACTTCCCCTTGTCTGCGTGATGGAGTTTGTGGAGAGTCTTCTTTTAACATCCCAACTCTGAGAGTGTTATGTTCATACACTATTATCTGCATTATATGTCATGGCAACTAATGATTGTACATATGTTACAAGCCACCGATTGTACAGGTGTTACCAGCTACCGACTGTACAGGTGTTAACATCAACCGATTGTACAGGTGTTAACAGGTACCGATTGTATAGGTGTTAACATCAACCGATTGTACAGGTGTTACCAGCTATCGAATGTACAGGTGTTACCAGCTACCGAATGTACAGGTGTTAACAGCTACCGATTGTATAGGTGTTAACATCAACCGATTGTACAGGTGTTACCAGCTATCGAATGTACAGGTGTTAACAGCTACCGATTGTATAGGTGTTAACATCAACCGATTGTATAGGTGTTAACATCAATGTACGATTAACAGCTACCGATAGGTGTTAACATCAACCGATTGTATAGGTGTTACCAGCTACCGACTGTACAGGTGTTACCAGCTACCGAATGTACAGGTGTTAACATCAACCGATTGTATAGGTGTTAACATCAACCGATTGTATAGGTGTTACCAGCTATCGAATGTACAGGTGCTAACATCAACCGATTGTATAGGTGTTAACATCAACCGATTGTATAGGTGTTAACATCAACCGATTGTATAGGTGTTACCAGCTACCGACTGTACAGGTGTTAACATCAACCGATTGTATAGGTGTTACCAGCTACCGACTGTACAGGTGTTAACATCAACCGATTGTACAGGTGTTAACATCAACCGATTGTACAGGTGTTAACATCAACCGATTGTATAGTTGTTATCATCAACCGATTGTACAGGTGTTAACAGCTACGTACTGTACGGTGGTTAACAACTTTCATCAAGAAAGGCTGTTTCATCAGTATCGGCATCATATGGAGATGGGGATTCCTCTCATATGTAACGAAGGGTTCAGTCTGAAGCCATTCATGGTACAGAACCGCTTATATATCCAGTATTGATTTAGAAATGGGATATGTTTCATATATAGTGAATATCCACCATTTATGTTGTCTGCCATCCTCACTTTCTGAATCTTTTCCTGTAGATACTCTGTGCGTGTGTGTATGTCTGGGTGCGTGTCTGTCTGTGTGTGTGTGTGTGTGTGTGTGAGAGAGATCCCTGCGCCTGTTTCATCAAACATAATACCCGGTGTCCTGTGCATAGGGTGTCTGCCCAACAAGCGTTAGGTCCGGGGTTCGATCCCATGACCGCATCATAACAAGAGACAATCATTGTTACCAGGCTGGTGCTCGCCTTTTACGGGATAAAACAAGAACTAGTCGATTTGGAAGCAGTTTATTGTATAAGCAGTGAGTAAGTTTGGTTTTACGCCGCTTTTAGCAATATTCCATCAATATCCCGTCGGGGGACACCAGAAATGGGCTTCACACATTGTGCCCATGTTGGGAATCGAACCTGGGTCTTCGGCGTGAAGAGCGAACGCCTTAACCACTAGGCTACCCCACCGTCTATAAGCAGACAGAGGGACACAGACAGTCCAATAATCTTGAACGGGACGTTGAGCTACGTTTCACCTCCCTCACGTGTTCCCGTATGAGAGGTCTGATTTCTTTGTCTTAGACAACAGACTGTTGGATCCCACTGTTTCAGATATCCCAATATACTCCAGTCGCAGGAAACACTGTTTTTGTGTTACCCGTTCTAACGTATATACATACTACATATTCAATAACCGCCTTCACGTACACACAGTTGAACGCTTTCATAAAAACACAGACTTGGATCTGATTAAACGAACGCGGAACAATTAGAAACGAAACACCATGTTTCGAAGGGAAACAGGGAGGTGCTTTCCTCTCAAAAACCGTATACACGCTGATGGATCTTGCGGATGAAAATAATGTGTGTAATATATACCTTGTTATTCTGTTCCGAAAGCAAGTCCTAATGGTAACTCTATCGTGTGGCAGAGGGGGAGCAATTACCATATAAACTGCGGTAAATCTGATCACTGATCTATATGGAGTGGTGCCAAGCACATTTAATGGCCAGGAGAGATCGATATGCTTGTGTTGAAGCCGTGGTTTAAGACGGCATGTGTGCCGTGTTTCTGACAGGGGGATATTTCCCTATAAACTACCTCCTGCTAATCCACTTCCAGGAATCGCGACTTTTACTCCAACCAAATGGATATTAGCCTGAGTTATCTAAGCAATTACAGTTACTTGAACATATTTTTTATATGTTGTTTGGCAGTCCAACGCTATGTGTTCAACAGAGTTAGTGAGTTTAGTTCGAACAATCTGCAGCAATATTCCACGCTGGGCCGGTGGTTGGAATTCCACCCATCTCTAGACTGTGACAAGCGAACATCTTGCACCATCAGACTGACCCATCTCCACCCTGAACGATGCACTTTGTGCCGCAGAGCAAAATTATTTCATATTCCAGCCACGCTTGCAATGCTGTCATCTCTTGATGACAAGTACAAATATGGCCTCGATTGTTTTCGAATTCAGACTGGCTTGACTATGTTCGTAAATACGAAACGGCAACGCCCAAGAATATCCAGTCACGATGAATGTGGCAATACAGTAGTGAAAACTATAGGAATCGGTCGCTGACAATTAGTTTGACACCAGGTGTTCGCGTGTTCTGCTCAACTCTAAAAATGCCTGAAAATGAACGTTTGTTGCCATTTCATAAAGTACAGTTCATCGTGAATGTTTTCTGAAGTCAAACACCAACTGCCCCGCGGCGACGTGCCATTGAAGTATTACAGGTGTCACAAGTCACGGTGAGATGTACTTCAGGTGATAACTGAATTATTTGTCCTAAGACCTGAATACACGTAGAGGAGGGTTGGAGCGGCATGTCCGCAGCGGCACCCCGCAAGTCCGGACGTCCCTCAATCTGGGCGCATGTGTCAGGACGCCCTTAAAATTGTCTATACAGTGACAGTCATCCAGAAATGGGTTCCGTACCTTTCCCTGGGAAAAACTAAGTTAGCACCAACAACAAATACGTATAAACTGACTTGTGCAAGATAGTAATTCCGAAGTTGAAGTCGTATTATACCACTCAGAAAATGTGAAAGAACATCCCAACCTTTCATGTCACAACGGATAATCTGCTATGTTAATGCAGGACATACTGACTATAGTAGTATAATAGACTCGGGCGTGTTAAACTACCTTTGAGAAGTATGTATGATGTGAAACAGAAATGAACTCAGCTGACATGCTTGAATTCTCAAATCAGAGATTGGGACATAAAACCCCACATTACTTCCACGCAGGTATTTCGCCAACACTACTCCACTTTCACCATAACGCCTGTGTAATATCATGTTGTTACCCCTCACAGATTCACCCTTCCCCAATTTGCCAGTACATCTGCTGGCTGTATATCCTGTTAGTGTGATAAAGGGAGAGAGAGAGGGAGAGTGGCCCCGAGTTTTATATTACTCAGCTTATTTCTGTTAACGATCTTGCAAAAATTTCCTGATTTCGCCTCCATCCCGGCTGTGCAATGTAAATCACGCCAGCAGGTGCGAGATGCAATGATTCCTGAAAATGAAAGTCTCAGCTAAACCGCCTTTCGCTCCGGCGAGAATACGCTACCATTAAGACGTTGAATTCTGCATCAAATGTGGCTGTTTGGAAAATGGCGAGAAGACAATCTTTAGTGGTGGCAGGCACTCGACACTCAACTTACATTACACAGCGCTAGGAACCTTTCTTTTACTGTTTCATGTGATGTGTTTATTGACTGCCATCAACGCATCAGCGATGGCTTGACTCTCAATCACTTAAGAATTCTTAAATTGCTCGATGGCTTAAAGTACTGGCGCAGCCACAAACTTGACAAACTCGAGCATTCATCAGCATCAACTTGGCGTAAAACTGCCTCGAATATGTTTTTATGAATACACATTTCGTTATCAGTCTAGCATTAAACTCCGATCCGAAAGCCAGCCTTAAAGTTGTACACCAAAGTTTTAGTAGGTTATCTTTGAGACCTGGGGTATTTGAATTCGGAAAGTGATGCAGTCTATCGGATTGATCAACAAGGGCTCCCTGTGTTGACACCAACCGTGTGATACCCATTGTAATGTACAAGCTGCTTATCCTCAGTTTCAATCTTAAAAATGATTTTAAAATGAATTATAATTTGACATGACCAGAGTCATATATAGAAACAGACAGAACAGTATCTCGACATAAGCAGATTCATAATACGACAACAAAGGAAGCTTTATTCTACAGTGTCATAATTATTTCGACCATACATTCACAATTTCCAACACTAGAAACGCTGTCCCAATTTGGACATCAATATAACATGTCCATGGTCGGCAACAAACACCACAGCAGCAAGGCCCTCTTTCAATAACTGTCCCAGTAGGATCCTTAAAACAATTATCTTGATTGTTTTAATAGTTCTTTTAAAGCATGTTCCTTCAAGGAACCCCGGTCATAGAGTCTCTCAATTTCCTGTCTGTCTTAACTCCTCTAGGAAATGTTTAAACCTTCAACTTTAACACGCGCTTTCTTTCTGTTTTATAACAATTGTAAACTACATACGGAAAGCATTTCGAGTTTGTTTCAAGATAATATTTGTGCCACTAACAAACTCACAAAAATAAGCCCACAATTAACCTCTCGCGCAAGAAGGTCCCAATTTCAAGGCAGATCTGCAATTTCTCGCACCAGTGAAAGGACAAACG